ACACACACACACACTTCCTCTGCTTACAAACAGTGGTTATCAGTGACACAGCAGACTCTGAAAATATTCGTTGCAGCATTGCTTGGTAGTTGTTGATGTGACCTTGTTTTTAACAAGCGGAAGATCAGAAGCAACACAAACGCCCACCCTGGGGAGTGTGTCTGTCGACTGGTGGGGTATAGTGGTACATGGGACTATGCCCTAGATTGCAAACTGGGTCAGATAAGCAAGGCTTTGATGGAGCGACCGGAAGCCACGTCCAAAATAAACGATGTGGGAAAGAACCAGGACTCTCAATGTTACCGTTGCTGATAAAAGGGGGAGGGCACAGAGGTGTTTGCATATTTGTGTCCCTACCAAACATTGCTGAAGGGCAAGACATAAGTGGGTACAGTCACCACAGGGAGAGGACCAGGGAGGCTGGGAGCTAGGGGGTTCCCTATGGTGCCCTTTAAATTTCGACTTCTTTCGACATATTGGCCAGTGAAATAAATTAAGAAGCGATTGCTAAAAGGATTCAATAAGAATGTCGATCATCACTGTAGTCACACTTGGGTTTAAAATGCAGACAGGCACTATGTTGTGGACACCAGGTGTGTGTGTGTGGCGGCGGGGGATGGAGGGGGATCTCAAACAAGGTAAATGTGTTCTCTACCTGGGGATGGGGGAACGCTGACACCAGCCTGCAGGAGCCCTGGGGGCTGCTAACTGCAAGGTTGGCTGCTCGACCCATGGAAGGTAAGACACACAACCTGCCCCTGCAAAGACCACAGCCTGGGAAGTGTCACCCCATGTCGCTCAGAGTCAAAAAGGGACTCGCCAACAGCCCCATGTCACTTCATTTCTCATGGCCGGAGTGAACGTTCGGCTTTGTTGGACTCGCGCAAGCGCACACACACACAGGCACACATTTGCACACCCTCAGCGGTCATTGGACAGGAAACAGGCAGTGCCCGTTGGGATTGCGGGCCTTTATGTTAGATGTGACGGTTAATCACTGGCTCCCCTGAGGACTGCTGGGTATGCAGATACAACCCTCTCCATAAATCCTCCCGGACAGGGTGACACTTCCCGTTTCTTGACTCATGACAGCAGCCTGACACATGATCTGGAAAGCATCGCTGGGGGTGGGGCGGCCTAAGCGGTGTCCTCAGCTGTGAGAACGCATCTTCTAGGCTCCAGGGAGGCAGCCACCTCTAAGGTCAGAGGGACCCCTGCTGATGGGAGGTGGGGCTCCTGGGGGGTGGGCGAGCTGCGCCTGTGTGGCTGCCCCCACTTTGGGACAACGGGCGTCAGAAACGGCACGGATTGCTCTGAGTCCGAATGACTGAGGGCTGTAACCACCACCGTGCCAACAAGCTGCCCGTTTCTTAGGTGACTGATGGGCAGAGCCGAGTATGGGAGGCTCCAGCCGGAATCGCCTTCCTTCCCACTAAGTCGGCCCAACAACCCTCCTTCCTGATGCAATTACTTCTCTCCTCGAAATTGGGGGCGTGGGGAGGATTCCTGAGGGGACCCTGCTCATCAATGACGCTTTCCTTCCACAGAGCTGCGTGGAGTCCCATCCCATCTCCTGCCTCTGAGGGTTTTAAATATAGAAAGTCTGCTCTTAGAAGCAGGAAAGTTGATTGCAAAGCCAGCTAGCCACCTGAGAAGCGGCGATCTGACCCG